GAAGGTTGCAAACACATCACTCTTATACTTCAAAGGATACACCCAAACTTTTCTGGAATAATCATCAATTAATGTTAGAAGAAAATGAGCTTCATCTTTTGATGGAACCTGGGAGGGACCCCAAACATCTGAATGGATATAATCTAAAGTACCCTTAGTTCTATGGACACCGGTACTAAAGGATACTCTATGGTGTTTGCCGAAAACACAATGCTCACAAAAATCTAGCTTACTAATTTTCTTACCATAAAGCAGACCTTGTTTGCTTAATACATCCAGTCATCTCTCACTCATATGCCCTAACCGCATATGCCACAAATGTGTAGTGTCAAAATCTGAATCCTCTGAGGATAACATTGCTGCAGCACCTGTCACTGTACTACTTTTAATGATATAGAGGGTATTTACCTTCTTTCCTTTCATCACAACAAGAGACCATTTACTTACTCTCAAAACTCCACATTCAGCCGAAAACTTAAAACCATTTGAGTCAAGGGTGCCTAAAAAATGAGGTTTTTTTTAACTCTGGAATATGACGGACATTGCTCAATATTCTAACAATATCATCATGAACTCTAATCTTAATTGATCCGATACCAACAGTCTTGCAAGATATGTTATTTCCCAACAAGACATTTCCACCATCAATTGATTGATATGTGACAAATCAATTCGTATGCGGACACATATGATAGGAACAATCTGAATCAAGAACCCACTCATCTTGTGAATGAGTATTAACACTAACTGAAAGAACTTCATGTGAACTAGAAGACTCTTCAGTTACAGTGACAACTGAAGGTTTTATATCCCCAGACTTCGACTATGAATTATTCTTTGTTTTAAGCGCTGGACAATTAGGTTTTATATGTCCATATTTGTGACAATAATAACATTCAACATTTTTCTTTAGTCTGGACTTTGATCTAGATATGTTTCTAGATTTACCTCTACCATCAACACCCTTTTCAGGACGACCACGAGCGAACAAGCCTTCAACTTGATCCTCTCCTCTTACGACAGACATTTTCTGTCTTAACTCTTTTGAATGTAAAGCTGATTTGACATCCTCCAAAGAAAGTGTATCTCTACCGTATAACATGCTATTAACAAAGTTTTTAAAGGAAGGAGGTAATGAACATAACAAGATCAGGGCTTGATCTTCTTCGTCGATTTTAACATCAATATTCTTTAAATCCATAAGAATAGTATTAAGTTCATCTAAGTGGTCTTTAATTCGCATACCTTCATTCATGCGAAGGGTGAAGAGGAATTGCTTCAAGTAGAGCTTATTCGTTAGAGATTTCATCATGTACAAGCTCTCTAACTTGAGCCACAAACCGACAGTGGTATCTTCATTTGTAACCTCTCGTAGGATCTCATCGGCCAAACAGAGCTGTATGGCACTATGCCCCTTCATCTCCAGCTCTTCTTTCTCATCATCGGGCATGGATTTCGGTAACTTATCCTTTCCGGACAAGACCTTGAACAGTCCTTATTGTACTAGGAGAGCCTTTATTTTTACTCTCCACAAACTGAAGCTGTTTCTCCCATCGAATTTCTCCACTTTGTATTTCGTAGAAGACATCTTAATAACCCACTAGAACAGTAACTGTACGTATGAATAGTACCCGTACGTATGAATAGTAACAGTACTTTTAAATAGTACCTTACACGTGAATAGTAACCAAAGCCTTTAATGAGTAAACGATAATCTAAGTTATTTTCTGCTGTGGAGGATTCACTATTAGTAGCAGCTACAGAGCATACGATAAGCAGATACACGTACTCTAAGCAGGTTCTGATACCAGTTTGTTGCAACGAAGGGGCTTCACAGACACAGAAGATGTCTCTACAAGAGTGGACAAAGAGAATAACACAAGGATTTAACGTTGTTCGGTCAGTATGACCTACATCCACGGGCGAGAATAACAGAGAACTTCACTAATCACCAAAAGAGAAGATTACAAAAGAGAAGACCACTCTCTAACCAGAGACTCTCACAAAAAAAGAGGCAAATTCTTTCTATCTCACTCTCTTCTCTCTAATTATTTTCTCTCTTATTTTGCTCACTGCCTCGATGCATTTAAACCCTCTAACCACATCTCCTTATATAGGAAGCAAAAAATATTAAAAAAAAAATGAAAAAAGGGCACCAAATTTCAACAAAGTTTTGGCAGCCGCTTTCAACAAAGTTTGGCAGCCTAATTGTTGAATTTCAAAGGCACGTGTTTAACAAATGGATTGTATCATATGGATTGTACATATGATACTAAGATACTTCTATCACTTTTCTATTACTTATTCAACTCATATTGCAAATTTCTTTGACATTGTTTTTTGTTGTTGAGAACTTCTATTAGTTTTCAATGCCATTAGTAGAATAAAGACTTCTTAAGGACCATATTTGTCTTAAAAATTTCTTGCTCAAAAAACATGAAGTTGATTTGAAATGTGTATCTTATACAAAAATAATAAATTTTGAATGAAGTGCATGTATTGAATATGCGTGTGTGCAATTGTGTGCATGTGCGTGTGTGCATGTATTAAAAATATATTTAGATAGGAATTACATTGAATTGTTTCTGAAGAAATTCTATAGGAATTGCTTTTAAAAAATTTTAGTTACCATTAGTAGGAGTAATGCTTCTTAAGAACCATTTACTCATTAACATTCCTGTAAAAAAAAGTTACTGACTTTGATTCTAAATATAGAGATCTTGACAAAAATAACACTGTTCAATGAAGTGCACGGATAACTCTCATTAGCATATGTATATATGCAAGCATGTTTAAGGATATTTAATGGTAAAAGTTACATTTACATGAACAGCACTTTATAATATTTACTTCTTGCAGTTGTGAAAGAGATGTCCAATTTAGCGTCATGGTTTGCTGTAATCGTAATGTTGACGCTATTTAGAAATGAGGATATTATAAATTTAAATAGCACAAAAATATTTGCAAACGCACGCTTTTGCTTACACACACACAAGGACACACATATTTCTCATGTCTAGTTGAGCCTATCGATCAGCAATAGACATGATTGTATCAATGCATTATTTGTTTTTTTTCATTTTTTTTAACCACATGCATCTGAAGATGTGTGCATGAATCAAGAGAGATACAATTGTCCTGATCTACCGAGTTTATCAAGAAATTTACTGCTTTTATGGCAAGAAGTTGATAAAAAGACTTCAAATCAAGTTTTTGGTCTCATGGAACATAACAATATGGAAGGTGGTAGTAGGGCTCTTTGTTTGTTTGTGAACTCTGTGGAGTATGGATAGCACCAAATATTGTTATTTTTGACAATGTGCAATTTGTCTTCCTTGATTTGCAATTTTGCATAAATATGCCTGGAACAGCTGTTTTAATAGGGGCTTTCATTCTGATTGGAGGAGACATTACCAAATGTCTGCTGTGCAATATGGAATATAAATAATACGTATAACTTAGCATGACGCTTCTAGTTTAATATGGGCAAATATTGTATCGAGATAGTAGTATGAAACGGGTATTTCCAATTTGGTCTTATCTATGAAAAACTTATTTCATTGTCACAAAACATTTTCTTTCGATGCCTGTGAAAATGCAAAATTATTTTTTTCCTTAATTTAATTGTAGTAAAAAGTACTTTGGATTGCTAAATCAATTATAGGATAAAGAAAGTAACAGAACCATCAAGAACACCTATAGCATGAATAAAGGAGCTAAATGAATCATTCCAATGATCTGGATTGGGGGTATCATATTTTCTTCCGAAATTCCATTGCATCCCCATTTTTTGTTAGGCTTTGAGGTCTTTGAAAATATGAAGTCTTGTTTCCCTAGTGGACCATTTTGTTAATGTACCACCCTCAAATGGATGGGAAGATTGATTGTCTTCATCAGAAAATTGGTCTTCTTATCCAGAAATTGGCCGTAATTGTTGGGGAATTGGTTGCCATTGTCAAATGGGTTAGGAGTCTTAGGACTATTCAACCAGGTGCAGAGGCAAGATGAAAGGTGCAAACGGCCTTTTCTCATGTCATAGAGGTAGTACAGGTTTTATATTTAACTGTGGGATATCACCCAAATCATGACACTTAAAGTGGAGGGGTTTGTAACACGCGAAAGACACTCTACGAACACGCACATGTGTATTTTCCGAAAAACACTGCATTTTTCCTTGCGTTACAAAATGTGAGGCTTGTGTTATGTTACGTAACACAAAAACAAGTTACTTAATGCGCTTTTTGGATGTTGATTGTTAACTGTTACATAGAAACTACCACTCAAATGGAATGAATCCAAAATGATACTACTGCATGGACTGCAGTCATACACATTTGTCCTCTATTATGACCTCTTTTATCTTCCATAAACTATGTGTTTGATTAGTAGAATAGGAAATAATATTATTTTGTCTAGGTCCTATGTATTGGTTTTATGTGTTTAGGCAATGTTTGAAATCTCAGTATTAAAATAAGTGATACTGCTCTTTTTAGGAATCTGTAATTGCAACAGTGGTTTTATGAGTGATCCCAGATGAGGTATCAGATCTTCAGTGTTGACGGCTTTTAAAACAAATTATTTAAATTTTGTAAGAAATAGAGATACCATCCAGATTAACTGGCAGCACATATGCATAATGGTACAAATATGTACGCTAGGTTGTAAAAAGATATAATAGCCTGATTACATACACATATACAAAGCTAGATAAATATACAGTCACTTATATGCACAAATTTGAGATAGGTATGTGTATATATTTGTGCGTTCACTTGTACGCAGAACATTAAAATACATGTCTATGTGCGTGTGTGTGTTTTGGTAGCTTATTTTGCCAAATACAACAGCACCATGATATGCCTATCATTTTCCTCGGCATGGCTATATGTTCCCTAGTTACCAAGATTCAACTAAATGCAATAATTATCATCATGCAACCATTTTCCTGTTTTCATTCTTTTAATTTGGATGTGTTAAAAGCACTTTCGTATGCTCAACAGGCAGATATGGTTGACTCAGGCAAGAAGGCTTACATGCCAAACAGCACAGCTCAAATCAGGGCCTGTACTAATGGAGCTTCTCGAGATGGATCTCCATTGGATGGTCTGCAACCTTCGCCGATAACGTTTAGTTCTATTGAGCATATTACACTTGCTCAAGTGATGGCATGTAACAGAAGCAATCTAATGCAAGCTTGCTCACGAGTTTTTAGAAAAAAGAGGGATGATATGGTATGCACTTTTCCTTATTGTTGTGTGAAAAATTTTCTCCTTTTCCATTTATCTCATTTGTTTATATAATGATGAAACTGTAATCTAAGTTTGTCCGAACACTTTTAACTTTTTGTAGTGTCAGCAGCAGCGTTCGCTCGAAGATGAGATTGCTCTCTGTGAAATTAACATCCAGACACTTTTGAGTGGTATTCTCTTTCCACTTTGGTTATTCACCTATTATCTGTGTGTTATTGTATCTGTATCTATATCAGTCTTAGTGATCTTTTACTAAAAATATGAAGTTGTGCGGACGAGGGATAACCCTGGGTTAATATCTAGCTTGCTGTAGTGTTTTCGCATCACAAATAATAGCATATCAATCGTGGCACATAGTAGGTCCTTATTAAATCAATGGAGCACTTTTCTAATGCCCTATACACTTACATTGAAATGGGGGGAGAAAGACGAAAAGGGCGCATTACACATGAACCGGGTCCTAGAATGGTTACAAGTTGTTTTGCAAGCCATCTGCCAACCAGATGTTGGTGATAAGTTGTTTGTTTTGATCTTTGGTTGGTGTGACTTAAGTTGTAAAAAATCCCAACTGCAGTAGTCCAGCTTGTAGACAGGGTGGTAGTAAGTTATATAACTTGTAAGTCTGTTGCAGGCATGATATTGGGTCAAATAACATTTGTCATACATCTCTATCGTGATTTGTGGTTCAGAAAACAACCTAAACTTTTAGCTTTTGGAGGACATTTCAAATAGGTTGGAAGGATACAGAATACCCTCTTAAAACAATGAAAGATTTTTTATTGTAACCGTTGCGGCTGTTAGTTGGGTTGCATCCTGGTCTACTCGCAGTTGTAGGCTTTGTTGCAACGCGACGAACACGCTTAGGTTGTGGTTTTTTTTTTGTGTGTGTGTGGGGGGGGG